ATCACTAAAAATGAATATTTTAGTTATTTTATATTTTGGAAAATATTTGTTTTATATTTTTTTTCTTCTGCGTTGTGTTTGTTAAACTCGCAATTTGCAATCGTAAACGTGTCATAGGGATTTTAGCCTAGTGAAATCACCTTGAAAATTTTTAGTCTCTTTGCTAAAAGTTCTGATATAGAAAACACTGCGCAACTGAGATTACAATGATCGCATATGATTTTTGTTATATTTGAGATGTCCACTAACGATGCATTGCGACTTCTAAAGCACTTTGGCAACAAAATGATTTTAACTTGGGACCTTTCTTCCAGGTCAATACACCAGTAACTGCACACAAACAAATATCTCCCGGTATCTTCTATGGGTCTGCACATGGTGCACCTGCAAAAAGACAACATCAAGTATTGCGATTGTTACGTGATATTTGTGAAGATCTTAAAGAGCACAGTGACTTGCGGTAATTCTTTGTATAAATCATAATATTGACTTTGGGCTTCTGCTCTACTTTTTTAGTGTATTTTGTAGTTCCGTATCATGTAGTTCCGTCTCTTATTACTTGTGACGGGCATTGGATGATTTTTGTGTATGTAGAAAAGAAATTTGGGCCACATTTCCACGGCAGGACCAAGCAATGAGGTTTGCTGAAAGCCATGGGCAGGTTCCTATATTCAGCTTTCAGGATCATTTTAGTGGACAAAGAAGGTTCCTTGTGTCCACATATGAGGAGTTTTGGCGAAGGTTACCAATAAGCCAATGTTTCTTAACGTATTGCTAGTGTTGTTCATATGATGTGGTGATTTGATTGCAGTCCATCTATGTATCTAATTCTCGCTATTTAGTTCATTGATGTCTCCAATAATGTTGACATATGAGCATGTGATTGGGTTGCTAGCAGGTATAAAAATATGGCATCCAAATTTCGCCATCATTATGAAGTGATCAAGGAGGTTAGTGCTTATCCTATGAGATTGTATGATTCATTTATGTGAAGTTGCATATACATATCAAGCCTAAAGGGTAGAACAACATTGACAAGTATTTTACGTTAATGTGACAACACCCTTATGGATCCTTTTCAAATTTTCTTGTCTTAGAATATTGCTGTAGTGTGATCTTGTAGAAAGTCTTTGCTGATGTACAAAATAAGAATCTGGAGTCAAACACCTTGAAACTGAAGAAGAACATGGAAACTGCTACTTCACTCATTTATGTGTCTATCTTGATAATGCTCGTGACAAAGTAGGAGGAAACATATGAAATGGTTGCAATGGATGTATGCCTATTGCTTGATGAAGCTATTCCCTTAGTGACACTTTTGTACATATGTAGACATGTTGTTTCCACTAAAAAAATTTTAGATACACTAATGTCATAGTCTGAAGTATTGGTCATTTTTTATGTGATTTATTCCAGGTTTAAAACAGTATTTGGAATCTATAGACACTTCATTTGTCCACATTCAGGTGATCTATTTTGTCATAAGCCTCATTTAGTCGATTGAGGATTTAGGGGACCTCATCTCCTTTAGATGCCATGATCTCCTGTCTTCTATTGCCATCATCTGTCAAAAAATGACTATGGAACTGACTTTGTTCCAATTCGACCACAAAAACCGTTAGTTGGCTTTAACTTTGTTTGTCTCTATCAAAAAAGTGATTGCCGCTACCACATAAAAGATGTGGCTGTGTGGAATTCCAAACTATAAATTTGAAAATTTTGTTGGGAAAAGGCGTTGATGAAATTCAAAAATGTATTGTTTCCTTTATTAATAGCTAGAATTTCTAATTACAATTGCCACAATATAATGTAGAAATAGGAAGTTAAAGCTACTACAATCAAGGATCTTTAAATCTTATTGGAAAGAAAAAAGAAGCTTTATTTAACTGATATACAATAATGAAACTTTTAGGAAGAAAAAAATATGCAAAAATAACAGCAAATGAAACTATAAATAAATAAGAGAAGACTTGCTTTTGCTTCGGGTTACTCCTTTAGGGCTTAGCACTCCTCACACGTGTGACCTGATCGATGGTGCACTTGATCCTTAGATCTTGTTGAATCCACCAATCTAAAATGGAAGCACCTTTGGAACACCAGACACCCTTATGTGAAGTCTATGGGGCTAAGAGCACGGGTCACGATTAGGTTTCTTAGACCCTTTTCAATCCTTAGGGCATGCCACTGAGTGGCAGCCCCAAGCTTAATCTATGGCTGGGAATGGCTCCTTTTCTACCCTTGTGACTGGTGCCGTACAACCCCAGTGTGCTTATGGATTGGCGTGCCACTTAGAGATGGGGAAAGAGAGAGAGAGATGGCATGAGAGAGATGGCTTGGAGAGGAGAGAGAAAGGGGAGAGAGAGGGCTCAAAAAAGGTGTAGAGAATGTAAGGGGGAGTTCCCCTCCTTATAGAGCCTTGAAGGGCCCTATGGTGTTCCAATCAAATCACGACTCAACAATATATAAAAAATATGTACGTAATTTGTGAGGTGAGAGAAATGATCTGAGCCATCCATCTTTGAAATTAGCAATCATGATTTAGGGAGAATTTTAGGAATCTTATCCCTTGAATCTTTTGATCGATATCCACTTCTAGATTTTTAATTTGATTTGAATTATAATTAAAGTTTGAGTCCTAGTTCAAGTAGGAATCCTAATTCCAATAGGACCCTTAATTCATTTAGGACTCTATAAATAATATTTTATTAATATTTAAAATTTTACTATCACTTTGTGTGTGTAGGAACTGTGGCCCTTGTGGGCCCCACTTGCCACCCTATGTGGGCTAACTACGTGTGGGAGCTGGGCCCATGCCCCCTTACATGGATCTCACATAGAAATAGGCCCCTACTTAACTGTAAAATATCAATTCCTACAATAGCTGCGGGTAGCTGCAGCTCAGGGATGTTGCGCAGGGAAACTGGGGTAGAGAGAGAAAGAAGAAGGAAATAGAGGGGAAAGAGGAGAGAGAGTGGGCTTGTGTGACGACCCAAAATTTTTTAAAATAGAAAAATAATAATAATAACAATAATAATAGTAATAATAATAATATAAAAATAAAACAAAATACCTATATAAAGAAATAATTTTGAGTGATAGTTCATGGTGTCAAGAATATACCGTAGGGACCATTCTTTTGATCTTTCCTGATATGTTTGGAAAGAGGTCTTGTTATTTTGAAATAGGTAGTATGGTTAGCTTTTTGTTAAAAATTAAGTGTCTCAAAACCACTTAAAAATTTTGCTGGTCCATTTTGTTAGTGTGGACCTTTGGTCCACCAGCTTTTGCAAAAAGTTTTAACCTTAAAAGGTGGGTACAACCACCTATGTGGCAACTCAATATCCTAGCTTTTGCATTAGTATTTCTACATGGCAATTCAATACTCTCTCATAAAAGGATATAAGATAACTCTTACATGAGGTGTTGTAATTTAAAAGGTCTCTCTCTCTCTCGCTATGCTCTCTCCTTCTCATAAAAGGCCCCTTTATGGGCTTAGTGTTAACAAGGGGCCTGAGACACTCTCTCAACAAGGCATGTCGTATTGTCTGACAGCGATGGGGTGCCACTCGGACTCAACCGAGCAATTGTTGTTCAGTCTTTGATCTGATTCTTAGTAACGCTAGCATCTTGTCAAGTAAGTGACCTCATTCTACTGAAAAATATAGTCCGCTTTTAATAAAATGATTATTTCTGTAGATTATCATGAATTTTAAACACTGCAAGTTTTATGTGTAAGTGACTTCATTCTCCTGAAAAATATAGTCCGCTTTTAATAAAATGATTATTTCTGTCTATTATCATGAATTTTAAACACTGTAAGTATTATACGTAAGTAATCTCATTTTTCTGTGAAAAAGTTATTTAAAAATTGGTATTTCTGTCTATCAGGATAAATTTTAGATATTGTAAGTGTTGAGTGCAAATGGCTTTGTTTTCCTGTAAAATGGTTATTTAAAATTTGTATTTTGTGTTTAATTAAATCGTAATATTTCCATCTGTAAATCTTAGACGCTATAAGTTTTACTTATTCCTGTAAAATGATTATCTGTGAATTTGCATTCCCATAAAATTGTAATATTTACGTATTTAACTTTGGATTTCCATAAAAGCTCATCTATTGATAATAGACTGTTCATCATGTTACATTTCAGGAATGTTTTTCAAAACTGCTACCTTTCTGAAATCTTGGCCCAAAATGTTTGATTGGTTACTTGTAGGAATTTCAATGAAAGTGATTGTTTTAAATTGGCTCAAATGAATTCATGTTAATGATTTCAAGGATATTCTGAATATGCGATATTGCTACTTTCTGACGTTTAAAGAATTTCAGAGATACTTTAAGTATATAAATGGACTCATCTGTTACGTCGGTGAGGATAAGTGGACCTATCCGGTATGCCGGTAGAGATTAAGTGGACTCATCCGGCACGCCGGTGAGGTATAAGTGGACTTATCCGGTACGTCGGTAGGAATTAAGTGGACCCATCCAGGACGCTGGTGGGAAATATAGGTGGCCTACTTGGGACGCCAGTAGGATACTTTGTGAAATCTTTTGAATTATGCATCTCTGTTAAAGTGTTTATATGTATTTCAATCTTTTGGATTTTGCTAAATTGTGTATCACTGAAAATGAAATTGTTCTCTATAAATGCTCTTCCTCATATTGTTTCAATAGACATCTTTTTAGGAAATGTTTATATCTTCCAATCATGATTATTTTGAGGACTATGATGATCACTTACTGAGTAGCCAAACTCATCAAACTATGGTAAATTCTTTTTAGGGTAATTGCAATCTCATAGTTTGAATACACAGCAGGACCAGCTTTGAAGAAATTGTAGTCATGATTAAATTTTTCTTTGTAACTTTTGTTCAAATTCACCATTGTAAATTTTTTCATATCAACAGATGGATATATCTAGACCTTCATGTTAATGTTAGTTATGAGTAGACTTTGTACAAATTCTTAGAAATGAAAATATTTGTTTTGTTCTTTAAGAATTGTTTGTCACATCTCAAGAATTTTAGTATTATAAAACTTGGGGTGTGACAGCTTGGGGTGTGACCTAGCCTAGGTGCACCACCTTTGACCCCTTTGCTTGCACATGAGAGAGAGCAGGGCTAGCCATGGGTCAAGATTAGGATGCATGGACCATGGCGTAGGTTAGGGAGTATGGACCATGGTGTAGGCTAGGGTGTATGAGCTAGGGGTAGTTTCTCTCTCTTCATCACTTGATCCAAGAGTTAGAAGCAAAGCCCAATGAATACAAGCTAATGCCTCAATTTTATTCATGAATGATCAAAGCCTTTTTACAAATGACCTAAGCTTGTTTATATAGAACACCCACCAAACATGGGTGGAATACTCAAAACTAACTTAAATTGTGGAAAAATATAATTTAATGGAATCAAAATAAAATCCCTTGTTTGGACATAATGACCAAAATACCCCTTAGATCTTTTGAGCAAATGACAAAACCATCCCTCCTTGAGGGGCCTCTTGCCATTGCTATACTTCGGGAGCTTTCTCGGACACTTGCATCAGTGATTCGGGCGATTGGTCGTCGTAGAATCGTTGCTTGATCTATCACGAACATTTTGATGCCATTTGATCGTCTTGAAACAGATTTTTCATGAAGGGCCAAAAATCCGGCTAAGTCCATAAACTTCGACTACCAATCCGGTGCGATCCGTGATGTTCCGAGTCGTCATTTTGATCATAAATTGAAGAGGAAATTATCACGATCATTTTGCACCAAATTTTGTCTGATTTGGTTTCCGTTTGAGCATATCGCCAATTTGGGAAGTCGTCGGAAAGTGTGACTCCGGCAACCGAAAATCTTGCCATTTTTTACCTTGAAATTCACGCTATCCAGCCTGCAATTGAGCACAAAAAGTATACCAAATTGTACCCCTTCGCGGCACGGTCGCAATGGACCTATATTTGCGACGATCAGACACCCGGATCTCAAGTTATGACTTCACGAAGTATGGGATGTCTTCTTTTAAAATTTTGATTTTCATGTTTTTGGGTGCATCTTCTGTCTAAAAATTCTCTTATCTCGGGCTATGTCATGACGTGTGCTATATGTCAAAATGGCCGGGTCGTTGAGACCTAGCTCGTGTCCGAATTTGAGCATGTTTTGACTTAAAACAAACGAGTTATGAGCATTTGAACTCATCCTAAGAGGTGAAAACACAGTTTCCATAAATGGAAACTGGTTCATAGAGGCTCACTGCACTAGCGTAAAACCCACCCTTTTATAGTAATTTGGGCCCAAGATTGTCTTGAAAGGTTCGATTGAGTCCAAATTTGGTCCCCAAGGGTTTTTCAACTATCCGGATCCAATGGCTGTGGTCTGGTACTATTTTGAGGCCCCGAAAATAGGGCTGTAGTTATAAAGTCCCTTTTCAACATGATATGAATTGTATTTGCAAATCGAGTGTTGTTTTGATTATGTCAAAACTTGTCGGAATGTCACGAAACTTTGTGAGCGTCCTTTGGGCATCCCAAACTACCCTTTTCATGCATTTTGAAGTCGTTCTAGTACTCTTTCCATGGTTGTCCAGCTTTTAGCTTATTTTTACAGTGTTCCCATGGTCTGGTGGTGTCTTGGGTGCCGTCGGGGCTAGGTCGCAACTGGCTCTCCTCTTATTCATACCAGGGATACAAGTACATAAAAAATGACGTATAACACGCATCTGTTGGGGATTGGAATCCCTTTCTTTTGAAGCTGGTGAACTGTGAGAGCCTGTTGAGAACAAGCAATCCAGTTGAAGGTCTGCACTTTGGGAGGAGCAATGGTGGACCAGACCTTGGACAGGACAGAGATAAGATTGAGTGGGAAGGTACGTAGTTGAACAAGTCTTTTGTAAAACGAGGCCATTGAGAAGGTACTAGAGGGAGCAATGGTCCAGACTAGAGAGTCCCTCCCAAGTGGAGCTATGAAGATGGGATGCAAAGCAGCCGAAAGTGAGAGGAAAAGTCTGGTTTCCTCTTCAGTGAGGTTTCTTCTGAAAGAGGGGTTCCAGACTCTTTGGCTCCCTGACAGGACTATTTCATTAGCTATGGTAGAGTCTTTGTTAGAGGCAATATGGTAGAGGGACGAAAAGAGGTCCCTTAGAGAAGTGTGTCCTATCCGAAGGTCTGACCAAAAGTGCACTCTTGTACCTTCTTTAGGATGAAATCGGATGGATTGTTTGAACACCCCTTATCCCTCTTGAAATCATCACCTCTCTGAGACTAAAGAAACCAGACTAAAACAAAGGGACTCCTTTCCCTCATTAAGGATCATCCGATCATATCTTCATAACTTTAATCCTTCGTATGAAGCGTACCTGGAAAACTTAGAAATCTTGGACTTGAGTTAATAGAAATAGTCTAGAAAGCTGAAAAACAATCCTTGTTTTGTTGTAAGTTCCTTTGTGGAGATAAGTTTTTTATTCTGATTTTGTTATATGAATGTTCAACCCTTATTTGTTTCATGAAGATAAACATAACTCAAATGTGTTTCAACTTCATTCCCCGTAGTATTTCTGTTTTTAAAAGGTCTCACCACGACCAACTATTGATGGTGTTCTTCTACAGTAATGCATAGTTTTTCTTTTTCTAACTTTTCCTTGTTTTCAATTCTCTTGATGGTATTCTTCCTCTCTTGTGAATTGGTATGTATCACATACACAATGTTAAGTTTTCATTACCTTTGGGGGAAACTTGTTTGGGTATGCTGTGCTGGGATCTTTTGAGGAACTTTCTCAGTATATATTGTCGTATTGACATTTCATGTGATATGTACTTTTTATACTAAAAAAACTTTGCTTGCTCATGTACTTTTATTATGATCTACTTCCTTGATATTTTAGTCTGCGTAGTGTTTCTTTCTCTGTGATTGATGACAACTTATTTCTTTCTTTCCAGGGCATGCCGTGCCACTTGTATTTTGATTTAGAGTTCAACACCTTGTTGAATGCTGAAAGGAATGGGGATGAAATGGTTGATTTGTTGATATCAGTCATTTTTGATGCAATATCTGAGAAATATTCAATACAAGGGAAGCTTGAGTGGATCTTAGAGCTTGATTCTTCCACTACAGGTTTTACACTTAGGAGTATTTTTTTTTTTCTATTTTGGAAATGGATGGTAAAGTTGATTTATACCAGTTTATTTTCCGGATGAACTTGCGCTGCATGTTTCTTTTAGTTGGTGTTACTCCTCTAATGTGGTCATCCTTGGCTTTACTTGTTCAATCATTATTGAAGTGGCAAGTTGCTATAATGTATCTTTAATTTGTAATTTTCAGTAAAGTTTGTACTCAGCATTTAGAATTGTGTTTACTTTATTTGTCGTAAAAATAAACGCTATTGGTGGCTGAAAAGGTTATTACTTTAATACGGACGACAAGTGCATAATGCCCAAACTAACTATAATGTTCATCCCCCTAAAAACGATTGACATTGATGAGTTTATGGGCTTTCTAATTTGTCCTGGTGTGTAGTGTGGTCAAAATCCACTTAATTGTGATGCTATTAGTCTATGGCCATTGAGATTAGATTTACTTTAGGCATATCATGTGGCCTTCAATTGCTGTTACTAATCAATGATTAGCATGTTGAAGTTTAATTGTAGGTATTATTAATATCATAAAAGTCCAAAATCTTGGCCCTATTTGAAGCCTAAGGAATCAATGGCAGCTGACGATTGTTATTGTTGTGATGAACCGTAGCAATTTATATTGGGAAACACTTGTTTAAACCATTGGTCCCATCACAAAACACTTGTTTAAACCATTAGCCCCATCACATTTCAATTTTTGAATCCTTTTGGAGGTTTGCTGATGTTAAAACTAGTTGGTTTCATATGAAGTGCCTGAAAACTGATTGTGAATGCAGCCATGCATATTATGGCTGTGAATGTGATGATGGTCGGTGATCATCACAGCAGTATGTATTAGAATGGAAATCCCCTGGATCGGCGACTACCTTTATTATTTAGTCTCTCAGAGCTGGGAGAAATCAGCTTCCAATTAATGGTTGACCGCAACAAAAACACCTTAAACACGCACATCTGTACAATAAAGGAGTGGAGCTATCAAATAACCTAACCCTTTTTTAAGTGACAGCTTGTCTGTTATGCAGAGGATAGTTCAGCAGCTTGTTGCTTTCTACTCTGATTTATATAGTTGAAGTTGTCTTTCCGGGCCAAAGTAAGTCTTCACAACTTCCCAATTGCTGTAATTGGTGTGATGCATAGATTTGAGCTTGTGAGAGAATATATGTCAGGTACACAATTTACAATATCACAAATGCAAAAGTACAGCTGTCCGGCCCATGGCTGGAGAGATGCTAGGAGGCGAGATAGAGAGAGGAGGCTGAGCTACCTACGATGTTTTCACCCTTTCATCTATCAACAATAGACATGCTTGAAACTATGTGAATTTCAATTTTCAAGTACAGGTTGGTTGCAAGAAATTTGATCCAGCGTATAAGTAATACAATCTGGACATTCTGACGCTTCCCTTTCACATAATATCATGTCTGGTATTTACAACTTCCTTGCACTAGAACTTTCCATCATTGAGCTGTGAAATACTCTGCCAACTCCTGCCATTAATAGCATTATCAACATAAGTGCCCTTCCCTAGAGCCTAACGCCAACAAGCAATGAAAGGAAGTTCGCATGCTTAAGCAGTTATCAACCAGTTTTTTTTTTTTTTAATATATATATATATATATATATATATATATATAGAC